GTCTAGAATTTGATTATATAAATATTAGGTAACACCTAATAGTGGAGATCCAATGGCAAAGGAAGAGAATGATTATCTAGTACTTCTTTTTCAAGGATAGCCTTAAAGCTTATATTTTATCAGTAGATGTATGCTGTTTCAAGGAATGTAAAAACAACATCTTTTGTCGACATGTAAACAAAATAATATAATGAACATATTTATTATATATTTAGAATTGAATTGAATTTATTGACTTTGGTAGATTTTGTTCAGTTGGACAAACTTTATTAACTTATAATCTGTCAATTGATTGAAACTGCAAATTCCTAGGAAAAAATGGTCTACAGTAAAAGCAATCAGATTAGATGTGGCGTTTGAGCCCGTGCTTCTCAAACTCCACATCACAGCAAATTGTGCAAGAATATCTTACGTATTTTACCTTGATTCTTGAACCTCCGACATAAAAACAGTCGCGTTGTTTTACATCATCTGCAAAACTGAGTTACAAAGCACCGCTTAGGCATCCTATGACAAACTCGCCTTAATCATGTATCCAGTTTAGAAATATCATCTTGCTCCAACAGCATCATACTTTCGAAGTTTCATCAATTAATAAAGTCATTTAAGACTGAAATTTGGTTGATTCTTTGTTTTAAAGTCTCTCTCAATCCAGTGCTGATGGCATGGTCTTGGTTTGAAAATGTCCAAACTTCTCGACAAATGAAAAAGTTCGCACAGACAGTTGCTTTTCCCATATTTTTGCAGTATTTCCAATACCGCATCATCTTTTTCTTGTTGTAGAAATATTAAAGCGAAAAATCATCCTGATTTCCTTTTGTCGTATTCCTCAAAGACAGCCTCAAAACTCTTGAATGTAAATTTGTTTTTATCTTTCACAAATCAAGCTCCCGGATGTGCGGACGCGTCGTAGTTATGACAAATTGGCGAGAATATTTCTGTGCTTTTATTTCGCCTTCGGTGGATTTTTTTTCTCGTAATTTTTCTAATATTATGTCATTTCGAAAGAAAATGTTTGAGGAAAAGAATTTCGTTGTTTCATCAAATATTTTGGTGGTTTTCTTTTTTCCTTTTCCCGTGGAGGATGGATTTCAGAATTCGGAAGGAAATGTGCATACGCGAGGGAACCCTGTGTCGGTCCATGAAAAATGGACTCGATTTATATACCATTTTTTCTTAGTTATGGTGCTCCGCTCCGCATAGCTCTGCTATGAAAATAAAATTGTCACCTTGCCAATGCAATAATCGTTCACATTATAACTGATTTAATCTGATCTGATAATGTGTGATTATTTATTGATTTCTGTTTTTTTTTTTCTTTTTATCGTTTCTTCTAAGAAAAATGGCTCCCAAAATTCGACGTACACTATAATCAAGATGACATTAATGAAACCAGTGCTCAACAACAAACAAAAATTCCTAGAAGTTGGTCTGATGTCTGTCGCAATCGTGACTATGGTGATGTCAATTATCTTCCTATCATGTTTAAAGTAGGTTCAAGCTATCGCTATCGACTTATTAGTATTGGAAAATAAAACCGTAGAGCAAATGATCTTTAGCATGCTTGCCAAGGTCGAAGCCAATACCAAATTGCATTGCTTGATCAGCTAGGAAATGATAGCTAAAGGCTTCAATGTCATAAATTAGTTAAAGGYCCATGCGGATCTGTGGAGAAGAGGGGAGGAGCGGGCAGCAACTCTTGCCGCAGATGTTGACAATTTTGAAAACATCTTTTAACAGTTAACAGATCTTTTTCAAAACAAGAGAAACGATATAAACGCTCTCGTGTTTGCGTCTTTAAGGATGCTGTCAAACAGAAGCCTTTCTTATAAGTTACAGTATAGTCCTTGACATTGTTATGCTTCAGGAATATCCTCCTTATCATTATATTTCCGACTTAATGATTCAGTGGGGGTCCATCCTTTTTATYAATGCTAGATTGAAAAAAACGACCAAGCTGTTTGTACACAAAAGCCTGATGTTCAGTCTTTGCATGGCTAATGCGGTTTACATGGCGGATGTGGCTTTTACTGTTAGGAACGATTATCCGGTAAGAAAGCAGCTAGATGTGCAAATACTATATTGGGACGGCCACATGTGACCAATTTTATGTTACTCATACGCTATTTTTTGTGTTGCAATGAAGACTACTTTTGATGTATCATGTGTAAAAAAATAAAATTCTACGGGATGCTTCATCAGGTTTATATGTGACAAAAGATAAAACTATGGCCACAATATGAATTTAATGAATAATCTAACATAATAAACCAAAATGAAGGAATCGTTATATTTCAGATATTAGCTTTATGTCGATGACAAAATATCAGGGCAGAATTGAATGAAGAGTGACTAAATCATATTATTCTTATTTATATCTTGGCTTATTCTTCTTTATTTTTCTGTAGGGTGTATGCTCAGCTYTTGCTGTTGTACAGCACTACTTCCACACAGCTGTCTTTACGTGGATGTTAGCAGGAGCCGTTCACTTGTACTTCAAACTGATCAATGTGTTCTCTCCTTACGACAAACGGATCACATACTGTCTTATTGGATGGGGTAAATAGTWGTGTTTCATTTCAAGATCTCTTTTTCACTGTGATAGCTTCAAAATCATGTAATATATTTTTTCATTCAGTAAGAGCTCATGCAAATGCAAAAGATATGTGACCATAGAAGAAATCTAAATTTCTGTATAATATTTTACATACAATTGAGGCTAACACAGTATAAAAGAGATCGCGCGCAAAACATATAAATATCATTATTTCGGGTGCATCATGGGTAGTGTTGGGCGACAAATCGCAAATAATCCGAACTCTATAAAGGTTTAAGTTTGGAATACCAATTACCCTATATATTGATATATTTATATGAGAAATAATTCTGAACCATGTACACTAATATTTAAATTTTTAAGCAAATTTTTGTGCTTTCCGCAAGAGAATCTGTTTTCAAAAAGACAGCGGTTGTGTGCTTTAAATTAGAAAATGCAGTATTGTCTTTATATATTCATTTTTTTTATTGTCTTTTATAAGGAACACCGGCTTTGATTGTGGGTACTGCAGCTTTGATCAAACCATCCATCTACGACATGTCACCAGAACATCATGACGTTGACTGTGGTGATCAGTTGGGTTATCATATATCGATCATCAGAGAGTTGTAAGTCTATACCATACTTTATCAGAATAAATTCTGGTTATGTCGAGTAAGACAGTCAAAGCAATTGGAAAACCAATATTCTCCTTCACGGCTATCTGCGCTATCTTGAAAGGTAGCCGTGCCTTTACATCGAAGCGAGACGACCGTTGAGAGTGCAATGATAGAAACCTTATTCTTTCACACCAACRTACAATTATTCACAGGTATCTACCATTGTACGCTCAACGGTTGTCTTGCTTCGGCGTAAATGCACGGCTACTTTCAAGRTGGTGCAAATAACCATTAAGGAAACTATTGGTCTCTTGGACAACGGTAACATGAGACGTCCATCAGGTCGTGTATCGTGTATTCACTCGATTTTGTGATATCAATGTTAATTATRTTTTATTATTACTAGCTGCTGGTTGAATGACGSTTTGTGGATTTACAATGGACCAGTACTGGGRATTCTTGTGGTAGGTATATAATAAAGATTCATTATATTGTATTTATTTATTCAMTTATTTCATTTGACATTCAGATCAATGTGGTCCTTTTTGTCGTGTTCCTTCGTATCGCTTTTGGAAAAATTGCAGCAAAAATTCCAAACAACAACAAAAAGAAAGCAAAGTAAGTCATCAAGCAGACATTCTTGCTTAGAATTCTCAAAAAAAATCAATAGTTGAATTTCGCCTCACTTGTGAATAAAATATGCAGAAAAAAACCACTATAAGATCTCAAACTTTTCTTTGTTTTTACTATACGTCATGCGGACATCTTCAATGAACTTCAAAAAAGGATATTTTTCATAAATATCTATTGTTCATTCAACCTACATGGCTGCCGTTCTTTTGAATCTCATGAGAATGATTGAAAATGATCAATACTCTTACTACTTAAACCATTTCCAACGCATTTTATTTGTTGCTGTATATTTGCAGGAAAGTATTTAAAGGTGTAGCTGCCCTTCTCCCCATACTTGGCATTGCATGGTTACTTGGTTTCGCTGTCAACTCTCAYTGGATTCTTCTTTACWTTTCTATTGTTGTCAACTCATCTCAGGTGAGCTGTGTTTTGAAACACGAAGTCAATTTCCAAGCTTAACTGTGGAATTGTTGATTTCATTGGAAGTTTCTCTCCATGGCCAGAAATTCCGGACATTTGAGCCCGGGACGAGTCAGCGGGTTTTCCCACCAAAATAGAGCTTTCTACAAGTTCCCTTGAGGTTKGAAGATCAAATTTTCTACTCTTATGCAACGATCCTTTATCTTAATACAATACTGGGCTAAAATCGAAACGTTCAAAACATCGACAAACGAGTATTGGGATAGCACGACCTGATCCTTGAGTTCATTAGTGCCTTGTGAGGTGCTTRGAATGTTYATAGTGTAGATAATATTATTTGCTGGAACACACGTTTCCCTCAGGTATTTTAAACAATGATCATCAGTTGATATTGTGATCTTTTGCTTATACTTGTACATTTCTAAGGAATTTAAAAGGTCTGACATTGTTTAACCTAGACTTGATTGGCCTATCWTTCGTTCGTATTTCCCGCTATCTGCACTATTTACCAGTGTGCGCAAGGCGCCAGTAAAAACCACCAAAATTAAAGCAGTCCCAGTCTGAAAGCCACGTTTCTAAGGTTTATTTTGGTACCAAACATGGAGAATAAAATAAAGAGAAAATGGAAGATTAGGCCAAGTATTCGCGTGAAACACGCGTCTTCGCCAGCCATTTCACCGTCAAGTTAGTGTTTTCAAATTGTACGATTTCTAGTACCAAAAAGGACGATGTTGATCGTCTTCAAAATAGCTGAAAATCGCTGTGTTCCTACCTCAATATGTGGACTTTGAGAAATGATCTATCGAATATCAGTGACATGTAAAGGAACACGATCAGATATGGTGAAATTTCGCTTCTTCGCGAATTTTCACCATGAGATGCAAGGCCAAAGGGAGACGACGAAAGGAAAATATATTGTCAAAAAGGACGCTGTTAACAATATTGGATTTATTTGGATTTCCTACAGTGGAATCAAGAATAGTTTCCCTCTACGAATTCATCTATGGAATCTTTCCAATTAAAACAGATGAAATGTTATTCTCAAATATTTTTTTTTGATCCATACATTTCTTTGTAAAATTTACAAACATGTTTTTATGCATTTTGCGAGGTACCGCTGCGATTGCGGGCTCAAACGTCCGGATTTTCTGGCCATGCATTCGCAAAAACTACCTACACCTCTCGACCAAATTTTGTTTTCTGTCAAAAAAAAATGGTTTAAAATGGGTAAAAATTGAATGATAAACGAAAATTGATATTAAAAATGAAAAATTCTGCATAGTAGAAAAGTTCAACTGTGGTTGTAACTAGTAGTATATATTTTTAAATGTTCCAGGGCATTTTCTTGTGTGTGGTTCACTGTTTGATGGATAACGAGGTAAGAATAAAGAGGAGTTTACACGAGCAATTTTTTCCTTGGCATGCTTTCCTTGACAAGGCGAAAATTGCTCGGTGTAAATGGGGTAAAATCATGGTCAAATGTTCGCTTTATTTTTGCGCATAAATCACACTTTTTCAAAATAATAAGGATTTTCGATAGGGATATTACCTTTTGCCATCCGACAACGTTAGGTTGATTGATCGCAAACTCATTAGACTTGTCCTTGTCATACAGTAGTCACAAAGGACTGTACGTCTTTCTCTATCTTTATTATGATATCTATATTAATTTGCTCGYCATTTTTCAAAATTCTGCATAATATGATAAACACGCACTCATTTGCAGGTTAGAAAGGCCATAAGACTCCTCAAACAAAAGAAAAAGGCGGTCATTGGTATCGAAGCAGGACGTCCACACGGTATGAAAGTTTCTTGGGAGCGATAAATCTGTTTTTTTTTTTACTATGAGTTTGTGCATAAACACTTGACAAATGCTCGGTTGTGCAAGACATATACTTTATCGTGTGTATCTAGTGAAAATATTTACCCCCTCTATCAATGTTGCAGAAACTTGTTAAGGAATAGTGAAATTAAAAATAACATGGGATTGGGGGATGTTGGCAGTCCAGGTAGAGATTAATCTTCAAAGAGTGCTATAAAAGTCGTGTTCATGTAAAAATTGAAATCATTGATGGCCAAGATTGTAGTGTGATTTAGGTATCTACTTATTTTTTTGTATTTTACAATTCTAGGGCGAAAGAACGAGCCTCAGGCAGCAATGGAAGGAGATGCAGTTGAAATGAGCGTCAACGCAAACAGTGGTAATCAGGGTTTTTTGTCAGAATTGAAAGCAAAAGACGATTGTGTTCTTGTTTTACTTATAATGAGCATATGTTGAGGCCGATTCAGACAGCACAATTTTTGCATACAAAAATCCCATGCGACATGTCTAAGTCATTTTTATGACATATCTGCAACTGTCGTCGGGCTATCAAATCACTGTTATTTAAGAGGAAGAAAATAGGTACTAAACACCTTTTGTGGAGAAGATTTAACTCCACCAGTTTTAACTGCACCTGGAGGAATAGTTTTGACCCCTCTTCTCAAGTGCAATTTTGAACCTCTTCTGGAGTAATTTTGACTTTCTTTCCGTGTTGCTTTAAACCTTTGGAGTCAAAACAATAGGCATTTTAGAATCTTTAAGGTGGATCACAACTAATGAAACGCAAATTTTGTACTTTTTTAACTCGCTCGCTTCCCAAAAGTATTTAGTAAAACGTGCTATAATTTTGATATAACATGCATTAATTATTGCGTTTTTTGACAGTTTTCAGTATTTAGTAATTTAAAGGCTGGTTTTAAATATACAGCGCATTTTCAAACAGTGATAATTAAAATTATTTCGGGACGTTTATTAACCTGGACTAAGCTCTCCACTAAACGTTGTGCTTGCTCGTATTCTTATACAAAAAGGCTAAGTTATAAAATATTATATATATAGTAATAATAGTTAAAATATCACATTTTAAATGCAAAATAATAATCTCACCTTTTGTCTTGATTTGATGCTCTTTTCCAACCATAATTATATATGGAATGGTACGTACTAAGATTCAATTTTTAAAAACACATGCAAAATGTTACATGGAGGTCAAATATCACATTACTAGTAGTGACCATTCCTCCTCGTTGTGATGAGAGGAACGCCTGTCATTTTTTAATCGGTTGCCAAAAGACAAAGTGAGTTATGCCAAAAGACAAAGTGAGTTACGCCAAAAGACAAAGTGAGTTATGCCAAAAGACAAAGTGAGTTACGCCAAGAGACAAAGTGAGTTATGCCAAAAGACAAAGTGAGTTACGCCAAAAGACAAAGTGTCAAGTGACAGAGTGCTATATGACAAAATGTAAAACCGAAAAATGTCAAAGTGAGCTGTGTCAAATAGCAAATTCATAAACAGATAAGTGTCAAATTGAGCTTTGTCATATCGATAAAGGTCAGAGTTAATTGAATAACACTGCGCGGCACGCCAATGTAATTCGTTTAAAAAGCAAACTCACTTCGACATATGCACCTAAACCAATTTGACTTTTTCGTATTTAGACATTTTTCACTTTGACTTTTTCAAGTTTGACATTTTTCACTTTGACTTTTTGAAGTTTGACAGTTTTCACTTTGACTTTTTGAAATGGCCGCTGTCGGCCACCGTAATTTTTAGCCATCAAACATTTGTCATGCAAAGGCCCAGTATGTGACATTGCTTAGCGATTTTCTTGCGAAAAATGAAATATTTTCAAAAACCAATCACACAGCGATTATTACCTAATCATACCTTATCAATTTACAAAATATGAATAGCTTTGATTTTTCGAGCCTTGCCAAGATATGTCTGATTTTTGCGCGAAGTGGCTCTTAAATTACTAAATACTGAAAACTGTCAAAAACTGCAATAATTACTTCATGTTTTATCAAAATTATAGAACGTTTTACTAAATACTTTTGCGAAGCGAGCGAGTTAAAAAAGTACAAAATTTGCGTTTCATTAGTTGTGATCCACCTTAAATCAGTCTCTATTTCTTAATTGGTTGAACTCCTTGAAAATAACAGTGTTATTTCGAACCTGTTCGACAGTTGTGGCCATCTTTTATGGACGCTGACTTAGGCATACTGTTTATGCAATTGTTTTAGGCAAGACGGTTGTGCGGTCTAATTCGGCTTTTATAGTTTCATGCTCAATTATATATCTTTTTTTTTTATCTTTTT